CTTCAAATCAAATGTGATATTTTAGCAGATTTGGTAGATGAAAATCCCTGAAGTATAAAATTTTCTATAGAAAAGATCCCCGTTGAAACTTTAAAAGTCTAACAGCATTATCCAAACGGTCTTACAGGTATTTGCAGTTTAAAGTTGAACACGTTTTAATTCAGATGCTTTTTTTAAGAAGAGGGAGGGTATTAAAAGTTCGGTCCGGCCGAACTTTATGTTTTTTACTTGTTTTCAAATGTCGCCATCGTCACTATACCAACCTTGAGATATGTAGCTCTGGTTAATGAATAACACCATTTTAATTGTGTTGAAACTAGTGGAATGTTCATACTTTCCTCGCTCTGTCATGCAATGGATTTCCATCGAATCGGATCATTAGCTAATATTTATCTTTCCTATTCTAACAGCAGTACTAGAGTTGCCTTCCTCTCCTCACAAGTTAGATCGTAATCAATAAATTAGCTGTTGCATTCCTCAAATAAAAGGGGATCTCTTTCCCAAGAAAACTGTAACGAAATGTTCCAAGTTTAAAAACGGCAGAACAATAGACTAATAATTTATTTGGAAATATGTGCTAAATATTCAATACGTTCGAATCATTCGTTCCATTTTAGATGGTTTCGTTGTTGTTGCTGCAATACTCTTTTAAACAAAACAAACGGATCTCCGCACACGAACTATTTTTAGAAACATGTAGGCACAAATCGACAATGAATACGTTCCTTTCAAAATTCTATCACTGGCAGAGAATCGGCTCACCGCCAGTTGTGGGAGCTTTGCTCTCATTTGAATTTTCGGTTTAAAGTTATTTTGTTTGTTTTTCATGAATTTTAGTTTATCTTAGAGACTTGCTCGGATGAGTGGGAGGATGTTAGCTGGTTGTATTATTGAAGAAAAACTATTATAAACACACACACACATACATGTATGTATACCTATGTATGTACATGAGTACACATACACATATTTACACGCTAAAACAAGAATATAACAAAATACAAACATAACGTATTTACATGCGTGCATACAGGCATAGCGTGCAAGTAGGGTGTCTGGAAAGCCAATTCACATTACCTTCTCACACATGCACGCTTCCTATCGACGCTTACTAACGGGTGCATGTGAGCTTTCGAACGGCAACTGCTAAATAAATGGCCACATCGTCAAAAGAAAGGCCAACAAGAAATCTGTGGGTGGGAGGTCAATTAAATTTGATATGTATGTACTCCTCATCGAATACTCTTTCTGGGTGAACAGTACAAAGTTTTATTTCATGTTTCGTTCAATCGAAACGGTTTTGCTTTACTTTTTAGTAGTTTGGTTTATTTGTTTTTTCTTTTTTAACTACAGAGGTACTGCATCTAGATTGTCTCCAATGATGGACCACATTCCATAATCGTTGTCTTCGTCATCTTTAATATATTACATTATTTAATTACTGAGAAACTAAATATTCACTAGCCAAATAACAACAAGTAAAAAAGCTGTAAGTTCGGCCGGGCCGAACTTTGAATACCCTCCACCATTTGGAACAAATTTGGCAATTCTCAAAAACAATAAAATCCGTTAAAACTTCTGTTAAAATCTTAAAAATACCGAATGTAGCTATTATATTAGGGTCTATACGACGACATGAACCTGCGTAGGTAACATTTGTTGTAAGCCATTACAATATTCAAATGCGAAACTTAAAAAGAATCCGAACGAATTGAAGTAGATTGATAAAATGTATGTATGTGTCAAATGTATGTTATGTCTGCAGGATATTCGGTATTGAAAATGGGCCATGTAGGTCCACGTTTTGGTATAGCCCCCATATAACTGTACCTCCCGATATTCGGTATTTTGATGATTTTTGCGACATTTTTCACCGGAATAGTTTAAAATTTGGTATTTGAAGTTCGTAATGGATACTACAGCCTAAGACAGAAAATTGTCTGTGCAGGTCCACGTCTTCGTAGAGCCCCCATATAACAGTACCTCCCGATATTCCGTATTTTAATGATTTTAGGGACATTTTTCACCAGAATTGTTTCAAATTTGATATTTAAAGTTCGTAATGGATACTTCAGCCTACTACAGAAAATTGTCTGTGCAGGTCATAGTCTTCGTATAGCCCACATATAACAGTACCTCCCGATTTTTTTTTTTTTTTTTTTTTTGATTTTATCGACATTTTTTTAAGTTTCGCATTTGAATATTGTAATAGCTTATGACAAATATTTCCTACACAGTTTCATGTCGTCGTATAGACCCTAATATAAAAAATGAAATGCCAAATTCGTTCCAAATGGTGGTGGGTATTCAAAGTACGGCCTGGCCGAACTTACAGCTTTTTTATTTGTTATTATATGCATTTTTCAACCATTTTTACAAATTTCAATAAGTTTTCATTCAATATTTACAATTCCAAAATTGGTTTGACAGCTCATTGTCCCAGTAGTTGTGTTGATGCCTGCATTCTTCTACTATGATCGCCACTGAGTTAAATTGGCGTGAAAAAACAACACTGTTGCCATTTTTATTGCCTGCAAGAATCTCCTAATCTTTCAATATTCATTTGACATCATAAAGGAAAAATCGGTTATTGTTATATGAAATTTAACATTCTTAAAGTTCTGGAAACGAGCATTTGTCTTATGTAAACGCCAGGTTTTGGAAATTATGAATGTATACCGTTGGTCGACTATGAATTCTCTCTGTCGTTGTTGTTTTGTTGACAACAACACTACTTCTAGGTTGACACTACTTCTAGGTCCGTTCTTATATAGTCCACTTTTATTATCTCTTAATTTGGGAAAAGTGAAGGATAAAATTCGCATTATCCGGTTCTCCTTATTACACCTTTGCTTTAAAATATACGCATTTTTTCAGAGGTATGGCAATAAAATTCGTAATAATTTGTTTTATACATTATCACCTTAAGTGTTGGTACTTTTAAAAAAGTTGTGCCTCGAAGGAAGAGTTACATACAATAACACATCTTAGGCTGGCTTCTTCGTAGAAGAACAATACAGTTTTAGTTCGATTTTGGCCCTAGGCCCTTTTATTCATTTCCGAAGAAGCCAGCCGATGAATTAAGCCAGCCAGATAAGCGCTTAATGTATTCTCACCTTTAGGTTGACTTAGTTCGATTTTGGTCTTACGCTCCTTTGTTCTTTTCCAAAGATGACAGTCGATGACTTGACTCTCACCTTTTTTGTTTTTTTATCGTCTATAATATTGGGATACTTTGTTTTTTTCGGATCAATAAAGTAAACAATCAGTTATCGATTTGCAGTTCTGGAACAGATGAAGAGCATATTTCAACCTAAAACTCTGTACTCACCTACAAAAAATCCAGCCGATGACTAATTTATTTTTTTTTTATTTATTTTCAATTTGTACAGTAACCATGGTACAATAAGGAGGTAGAACAGCTTCGTAAAACTACAGAAATACATCCAACAAGTTGTTCTCATTTATTTGATACTTTTTGGTTATTTTTCTAATGCATCAAATAGCGCGAAAGATGAATGAAATGCCTGGATGTTCTCTCAAAAATATGATCCTAAATGTTCAATCTTTCAATTATGTGGCAAATTTGTTTAATATCATTAATGCGCGTTCCGCTATTTAGGTTTCTTCCTATAATTGATTTTGGAAATATTTTGTTTTTATTTTTCAAAACCATGGCAGAAGAATACAGGTAGATACATCAACGCTTGGGAGCATTGATATGTCAAAAAAATTTAAATGGGTGTTTCAAATATTAGTAGATTTTTATATACTTTCTTATACTACGTCATTCGGAGGCTATTATAATTCGCGCTTTTCAACAATTTTTACAAATTTAAATAATTTTTCATTCAACATTTTCAATTCCAAAATTGGTTTGACAGTTCATTGTCCAAGCAGCTGTGTCGACGCGTCTACCTATATTCTTCTACCATGTTCAAAACAATTAATACATACCATGGCAGAAGAATACAGGTAGATGCATCAAAGCTTGGGAGCATTGATATGTCAAAAAAAAGTAAATGTTTTTTTCAAATATAAGTAGATTTTTAAATGTTTCTTATACAACGTCATTTGGAGGTTATTATAATTCGTGTATTTAAACAATTTTTACAAATTTAAATAATTTTTCATTCAACATTTTCAATTCCAAAATTGGTTTGACAGTTCATTGTCCCAGCAGCTGTGTCGATGCGTCTACCTATATTCTTCTACCATGATACATACACAAAATTGACAGAAGTCGGGCACACTTAGAAAAAAATTGTAATCAGCTGGTAGCTCTACCTTTCCTTTTTATTGTACCATGACAGTAACCTATCCCATAGGGCCATGGACTGTTTTAAAAACTTCTTTATATGACTGCTCTAAATTAATTATAATATTCTTAAAAGTCTTATTTAAAATAAAGCATTAAACAAATTAACAAAAAAAAAATAAATAAAATTAACAATTGATTTACGGTTACAAAAACTTCTATTAATGACTACTCTTAAAAATACTTAAGCCAGTATAAAGTTTTCATGTGTATTTGCGCCTTTACTTTTCTCTTGCTGTCTGGCTAAAAAAGCATTTCCATCATGGTAGAATACAGGTAGTCGCATCGACACAGCTGCTGGGACAATGAACTGTCAAACCGATTTAGGAATTGAAAATGTTGAATGAAAAATTATTGAAATTTGTAAAAATTGTTGAAAAATTCATATTATAACAACCACCGATTTGAGTCGTATAAGAAAACATTTAAAAGTGTACTTATTTTTGATAAAACATTTTAAAAACCTACCTATATTCTTCTACCATGCATTTCCATCAAATACATCCCCAATAATTATTTAAACGTTATTCGCCAGAACAGATATATTTAGTATTAAAACAACGGTATTTGATAGCACACTGAGTCACCTTGTAAATACAATTGTATCGGTGGGAAAGTCGACAAAGAAAAGCAATTAATCGATTACTCAAGCAGTAATCGGTAGTAATGCCAAAAATCGATTAGTTGATTAGACGAGTGTCGACCATTCCTACTGTGAGATAAAGAAAAAGATTTGCTTTGCTGTATTATTGATTTAAAAAGTAAATACTACGTAGAAAGAAGGGCAGCAATAAAATACAGATAATACACAAATCACCGGCAAATTGAAGCAAAATAAAAAAATCTACGCAATTTCGAAGAAAACAGGAATTACAATTAAGGAAAAGTGAACAAATTGCGGCTATTAACGACGGTCGTTGTTGTGAAACCAAGTTAGGAAATAAGGAGCCAATACTCATCCGCAAAAAGCATCTAAGCCCCAAGCTCTAGATGTTACATTCTAATACAAAATATACACATATTTTCAATAGCACGACATAATTATCGAGGACAATGAACAACGGTTTTAGTACGGAAGAGGATTCAAGAGGTGGGCATGCTGACCAAACATGTTGTTTGATAGATGAAAATGAAAGATGCAGAAACACCGCTGGAAACGCGAGCTACAGTAAACGTATACAAAAGACGGTAAGTAAAGCGTGTCTTCTATTCGTTTTTGTTTGTGGTTTGTTATTATCGGAAAATACTTTTTCTGCGTTCAGGTGAAAGACAAACGTCTTAAATTGAGCAGCGATCCTACATCTCAGCACATTTACATATGCGACTATCACAAAGACCGAATTCAATCCGCTCGCTCCAAAAGACGACGAAAAGAATCCGAAGACGATAGTAATGATACAGACATTGACCTACCAGAAGTGCCAGATCTTTATCAGCTGCAGATGAACACATTGAAGCGATACAAGAGGCACTATAAATTGCAAACACGACCAGGAATGAAAAGAGCCCAGTTAGCAGATGTAAGTATTATTAAAAAAAGTGAAACGCAATTGGTTTTGATTATGCCTTCAAAACTTATTACATAATCCATGATAGTTACAATTAAGAGTTTAGAATTATTCGCACTGTATGTTAAATGCTTTAGCATTCATACCGAAATGAGCAGATAAAGGAAATTTTCTGGTAATGAGGACTTTTTGCGAAATCATAAATACCTTCATTAGTAAGATAAGGATCGTATCCCAAGGGCACATCCAAAAGCATATTGTGCTTACCAAAACGTTTAAAAAAATAAAAGTCAACGGATTACAAATAAGGCTAACTATAGATATGTAATTATTCATAATGTTCAAATTTTCATACAAATGTATTGGTAGAAAGTAACAGCTTTATTTTTAAGAAAAGGATCCAAAGGCCACATTCGATCCGAAATATTAATTTACAATGCCACATCCAGAGCCCGTACATGCGTCCGAAGGCATATTTTAGAATCAATTAGATTTTTTAATACGCAAACTTGTAATGTCAAGAGTAATTGAGCTTTGACAGTCGAGTATGGTATTTAGAAATACCTATGCTCTGTTCCAGAACCCGCAAGAGCCTAATAGTTTTACATTTTTTTTTTTCATACCATAAAAAAGGTAGGGTAAGTGTACCAGTAGTCGGCACTTTTAGGATTTTCGCGTTTTGAATCGCTCACCATTCTGAGTGAAACTTGTCAATTATTACAAATTTAATTTATTCAGATTCGAAATTTTGTATAGTTTTTGCAATAATAAAAAAAGTTTTAATAACTTTTTATTAAATTTCATAAATTTGTAGTTTTATTAAACCAATGCTTTTTTGCCAGTAGTCGGCACCTCTTGCTAATTGACGGTATGGCATGTTCCAACAGTCGGCGTACCAATTTTTTTGTAAGAATAATTAATAATAATAATAAATTAATTTATTAAAATATAATATTTTTGTTTAGTTAAATTGATTCGACGTCTTTATTGTACTTTTCTTAAGAATATGGATTGTTGAGGACCTTCACAGACAACAATTTAATTTTTATTAGAATAAATCATCTTTTCCTAGCGAAATTATACACAACGATAGCTGACAATATATTTGAAGTAAACAAAATATATTTAGTTATAATAGTTTAATTTATTTGGGCTTAAAAATAAAAAGTGCCGACTACTGGGACATGCCGAACTTAGGCACACTCACCCTGGTAACTTGTTTAAATTCTTGTACTGTAGCGGTGCAATAATCTCAATCCATTTTATGCCACAACAACCAGCAGTTTTGGAGTCATAATCAAATCCCAATATTTTTTTTTTCTTCAACTAAATCTTAAATTCTATGAATTTTCTCTTTGCAGATCATTATGAAGCACTTTAAGACGATAAATGTTAAAGAGAAAGAAATAATTACCTACTTCGTATACATGGTGAAATCAAATTCCAACAAACTAGATCCTAAAAATGGTATTAGTAACGACACCACTTGAATAGACAGAGGAGTTCGGGCGTACATCGTAAGTGTGCTGGTGCTCCATTCGCATTAAATTTAAAACTATTTCTATTAGCTGTAGATTTTAAGCAATTGTTACCGTTTAAGTCACTCACATTTGTGTAATATTTTTTTTTAAACAATACATATATATTTAAACACCTAAATTAATTTTATTAAATACATAACATTAGTAAAAACTGCATTTGGTAAAAATACACAAAATGCGTAAATCCATTAAAAGCCATGTTTCTTAATTTTTGGTTGCTTGAGTATGACGTTTCTTGCTGTACTCTAATTTGGAACTAATGACAAACATTGACCGCATCAATTTTGGGCTACGACCTTGCAAATAATTTTGTTAAACTAATAGACATATTCATTGAAACCAGACACTAATTTTTTCAATGATTCCCGCAAGTTTGCATTGATTTTTGATATTGAACCATAAATGAAAATAGTATGTACTTAAATCTGCTACAATGACAGCATTAAGTTTGAAAAATACTCAAAAGCACCCTCGTTCCCTATTATTCTTCTTGTAGCTAAAATACCCAATCCTGATGGGTCCCAATTTTACTTTGTAGATATAATCGCTTGTGTCCTAATTCTAGCGTGTAGCTAAAAACTGTTTACCATAACATTTTCATTCAGCGAATTATACGTTAAACGTATATCCTATAGTGGGTAATGCAGACTACTATTGAAGGCATTTTGCTTATACGATTTGTATGATTTTTGTACTTTATTAAATGGGTAAATTTTCCTTTCGATGTATTCAATTTAAATTTGTAAAAACGGACGTAGGGTCGAACAATGCCATATTAACATTATTTTATTTTCAACAAAAAAAAATCATATAGTAATTTTTTCATCCTCCTCTGAATCGCTTTGTGATTCTGCAAAAATGAGAAAATAGTCATTATTATATTAATACTCAAGTGTTTTGGCAAGTTTCTCACTTAGATTTCCCCTTTGGTCATTTTTTGGTCGAACACCCTTATTATTTTTCGTACAATCTTCTTGTGATGACTCGACTTCTTCACTTTCCATATTAGAATCGTCTTGTTCTTCTACGGACCATTTGTCGTTTGTTGTAGTCTGAAGGTCGTTTTTGGGATCTATATTTGTAGCTACATTGTTTACAGATATTAAAACAGTATTCAATAACTAGTAATTTTTAGAAAACTCACCAACTTCTTTTTCTTCATTTTCAATGTCCTTCTCATTAAATTTTTCTTCCTCTATCATTGATTTTTTATCCCCATCTTCGAATGTAAAGTGTCTCAATTTTAAAACCAATCGATCTTCAGCCAGACTGGTTATGGAATTTTGTTTAAGGCATTCTGTAAAACCTACATTTGAGCGATCCTCTCTAGCTGACAAATCGTTTTCTAGTGTCTTTTTCACCAGTTCTACAACATACTTTGCATGTTTTGCCGCTCTTTTTGAGCATTGCAGTAACAACGCTGAGCTGGTCAACGAGGAACCACCCAAATTTAGACAGCATAGTTCTCTGAAGGAGTTAATTCCAAATATCATTTGTGATTCACTAGTGCGTTCCTCCATAACGGTAGGATCTGCCACAGCTATCGAGCCATCGTCGAATGTGCAGTAACTAACGCAAACTGGATAATGATGCATAACCATAGGTTGCGGTTCCTTCTCGGCCGCAGTGTGTATAATTACATCGTCTTCAACTATACTGACTTCTGGTCTTCTAAAATGCATTAGAGCACAAAGAGTGGCAATAGAGCAACAGTCAATTAAATTTCCCTCATGATTAAGTACGTTCAAATCTACCCGTAAAATCCAGACGCGTTCTTCGGCAGTTATACACAAAGATTCCAAGTCGAGGCACTTTGAGTCCTTGAATGTTCTCTCCAAGGTTCTGTTAAGCTGTACAGTTAATTCGCAATTACGACCAGCCTCAAAATGTGGGGCAGCCATGGGACCCAATTCGACGTTTATATGGAAGATGCCCTCATTGGGACGTGTGGCTTTGGGTTCACCAAGTTCGCTAGACACTTGTGCAAGTACTTTGGTCTCACCCAACGCAACCAGTACACTTCCCCACTCGGCACCGTAGTTTATTTTAATATTTCGAAACTCATCGTTCTTCCTACCATCTAAACGCTGCAAAATAAAGTGAAAAATGTTATAAGTAATAAGCACGGAATTACCAGGCTCGGTCTCTACCTACCTGATTTTGTTTAATTGCTTGAATTATAAAATTCTTTTCGCACGTGGAAAGGGGAGTCTCTTTCATTATTTTGTTTTATTCCGAAATAATTCAATCAAAAGCAGACAACGAAGTGGTACGATTTTTCGGCGGCGACGCGCTGTGCTTTCTGTGTACTCTGTTCAAACACAGAGTTTTGCGGGAGAAGAGAAATGCAAAAAGACGAATAAGCAGAATGTAGGAAGGTGTAGAAAGTGGAAGAGGCAACAGCTGTTTGTTTACTTGGGAAAGAGAAAAAACGAATGAAGAATATCGTTCTGTCCCAGTCGTCGTCCAAATATAAGGCTTGCCTTTCAAACCAGCTGACTAGCAAACGAAATGTCAAAATGCGTTGTTGTGATTGCAAAATGCATTACTGATTGTGAGTACAAACAAATTATGTATTTTAATTTCTAAAATATACATTTTTAGATTCTGGATTATTAAATTTAGAATGCAGAAAAATTAAATTATTTAATTTTAATGCCTAATTGCGACAATTAATTGTCAAACCAATTTTAGAATTGAAATTTTTGAATGAAAAATTATTTAAATTGTAAAAATTGCTAAAAAAAATGGATATCATTTTTTTCATAGTAAAACATATACAAATGTACTAATTTTTTAGAAAAATTAAATTGTTTTACATATCAATGCTCCTAAGCGTTGATGCATTTACCTGTATTCTTCTACCATGGTTGTAAGTTGTATATCCAAATCGCTCATCACTCAAGCAATCGCTAGAAAATAGCGGAAAAGTAACATCCCTCTCAAATTAAAAACATACAGCATATTTACATAAATTATTCTACATTTTGCGATTTCAGGAAATAGGAAACATACATTTATATTATTTAATGGGGTGCCGCTGTTCCTTTATCCTTTGTAAAGTATAACAGCTTTTTTTCTATTCTTAGGCAAGAATTAATATTCACATCGAACGGCAGTGAAATTTTATATCAAAAAAAAAAAAAAAAAAATTAATTAAATTATAACACGTCATATCGAAGTTGACACTAGTATTACTACAGAGTCAAATCAGCTGTAATAATTATACCATGAGTCACAGTATTCAAAATGAGTGTGTTCGTTGAATGAACGAAGATGCGATTATCAAAGAAGAAAAAGTTTAAAATGAGGTTCATAAGTAGGTTTCCATTATAGCATGACGAAGTAAAATTATAGAGGTCAACTGAGTCAGATTTCCATAAAGGGTAGGACATTATTTTAAAATTTGAAACAAGGTAGAATTAAGAAGGTGAAGTCATGTACTCCATTGTCTAAATGTATAATTATACAGGAAATGCAAAGATGGACATGCTTATTTGATATGACTGTACCTTCTTAATTCTACCATGCCATTACCATTTGTGGAGTTATTTGTCCAGCTATAATATTAATAATATTAACATAGTGTTTTCAAATGTTTCGTTTATCAAGATCCAGAGATGGGAACTTGCTTTATATGATTGTCAATAAACGGTTGTACAACAAAGGGTTTATGCTAATTAGACAATAAAGGGTTTATACATATTAAACGCAAACAGCAGAGTGCATAGTCGACCAAAAAGTCGATAACTGCTTATTCGATTTTGCGAAATCGATTCTAGTTAACTAATCGAAAGGCTTACGCATCTCTATCTGAGACTACATTTGAGCTGAGCCATACATATTTCTTCTTTTATCGTAGACGTTTCGATTTTTCTTTGCGTGTTAAGCGGTTAACAATCTATTAGTAACTTATTTATTTAAATTTGGTTTATTAGTCTTCAAACGTAAAAAGCAAGAGAAAAACAAATGCAAATATCAAAATAAAAAGTAATACTATTGAAACCGAGAAAGTCAAACGTCACAAAGAAGCCAAACCAAGCGAAAGTGTTAGTGAGATTGAGTAAAATCTCAATGCAAGTACAAAGAGTTGAGATATAAAATTGTGTAAATAAGAATACAAAAGAATATTTGTTTGTCCTCAAAGAGAAAAGGAAACAACGAGGATTTTTATCCACCCAAGAACAAACCAATTTTTATTACAAAAAATAAACAATAACAACTACAACACAATCATACACACCAAACAATGTCGATAAACAAATTCACAAAAGGCCTTTCTGCGGACGAAAAAGCAGAGATTCAGGAGAAATTCACAGAGGTAAGATGTAAAAAGTATTCGTATGCCCCCTATGATGAATAATTAAAGTATATGGCTTAAAGAAACAGAAAACAACGTTGAATGCCTTTAGGATGAGTCATTTAAGTCACATATAAGCAAATAAAGTTCACAACTCAAAGGAAAGTGGTTGTGGCGTAGTACCAGAGATAGGTGGGTGAAGGGCAAAGAAATTAATTACTCGAGTACAAATAGATTTATTTGTGCTATCTGCTCTGACCGTACACACCGCCGTATAGGAATACTAATACCACGATGCCCGTCCATGGGGGACTTCCATGAATAAATTACATGTGTTTACAATATTCAACCCTAATTCGAGGATGATTCCTTTGTTTGCTTGCTCAATTCAAGGCCCAATATGCAGTCCTCCCCACGTTGCGTACGACAGACTGGTTACATTGCGAAGGGGTGTGTATGCCTGTTTCTCTGTGAGCTCGTGTCTGTGTGTGGGGAGGATGAATTGGAGGAAAGCAACAACACAATAACAGAAATTATACAAATAAATTTCTGCCAACAACCACAAAAACCAATGCATTCAATCAGCCAACATGGCTGGCCACATGGGTACATGGGTGTTGCCGGCATATGTTTGCTTTTCGCATAAACTAAGCAGGCGCAGCATCAGAATATGGAGAAAGTCATTCGACATGACGGAAGAAGAAATACAAGTCCGTCCACATCCCCATGTATTCATATGAACATTGCATATATTTACTAACGATTATTCTCAGACTGATTGACTGCAACTATATTCGTTTTGCTTGCTCGTTTTCGAGGAGGGTGACGTTGACTGATAAATACTCGTAATAAGCCTCTGCGGGGGATATTCAGATTGTACGCAGTGCAATGTCGGCGACACGCTATAAATATATTTACCTTAAGAATGCTTCAAACGTAGGAAATGAACTGGAGAAAATGGCAACATTTCTTTATCTTTATCACAAAGTCATGAGATTGTTTAATCAAATCATGGTTTTGCTTAGGTAGTGAGATATAAAAAAACTAATATAAATATAATGTCAAGCAAAGAAAAACATCTAAAATTAATTTATCAAAAATACTGTTGGACTATACCCATTAAGAGTGTTTTTTTTACCAAATGTGTCGTCTAAAATAAATATTGTGCTATGTAGTATTTTGACGTGGATTTCATGAATCATTGGATAGCAATCCCGAAGTAATTTCACACAAATTTATTCGTCATAAAATAATATGATTAGGTGTGTCTGGTTACTTTTCCAGCAGGAATTGAGAGTGTAAGAGTAGTTTTAATCTCTTTTGCAAGGAAAATGCGTAAAGTAAACAGACGGTATTCCTGCAGAAGCTTGCAACTAATCAGCTGATTTTTCAAAACAAACAAATTTGTGCCCCATTAAAAGAATTAAAGGAAACGAAGCAACATTAATTTTACTAGTTTTTTGTTCAAATGAAAAGAAAGTTAGTAATAAAATAAAAAGATGAACAGTAAAATAAAGATAGATTTGATGTGTTCCCCGGAATCCTTTAAACGTATTGCTAATGGCGTTTGTCTAAAAATGTTGGAAATGGTCTTTTTTTTATTACATATTAATATTTACGTTTTTCACATTTTGTAAAGTCGTTCTCCAAAAACAATTAGTTTTGCTAATTCCAGAAATATTTTCATATTGAAAGCGCAAAGAGAAATAAATAAACAATAGAAAACATCTGATTGAATGTCGATGAATGAGAAGAAGAAGAGTTGCAAGTGATTGCAGGAAGTAATAGGTGTGTCTGGTTACCCTAAAATTTGTAACAATTGTTACAAATTGTTACTGGAAGTCGTCTGTTAACTCGAAAGTTCTGCAAAAGAGAGCGGTTGGAGAGAGAAATTTTGACAGTTCTTTCAGTGAGAGTTTGCAAATTCTTGCTGGACAAATTTCTTCTTGCAATCACTTGCAACTCTTCTTCTTCTCATTTATCGACATTCAATCAGATGTTTTCTATTGTTTTTTTATTTATTTTTGTGCTTTTAATTTGAAGATATTCTTTTGGAATTTGAAAGACTAATTGTTTTTGGAGAACAACTTTAAAAAATGTGGAAAACGTAAATATTAATATGTAATAAGTAAATAAAAGACTATTTCCAACATTTTTATTTAAAAAACTTGTAAAATTAGTATTGCTTCCTTTGTTTTAATTCTCCTTATGGGGGACAAATTGGTTTGTTTTGACAAATCAGCTGATTAGTTGCAAGCTTCTGCAGGAATACCGTCTGTTTACTTTTCGCATTTTCCTTGCAAAAGAGAATAAAACTACCTTTTCTCTTAGAAAGAAGTTGCTGGACAATTCCTGCTGGAAAAGTAACCAGACACACCTAATTTGTCCAGCAAGAATTTGCAAACTATCACTGAAAGAACTGTAAAAATTTCTCTCTCCAACCGCTCTCTTTTGCAGAACTTTCTGGTTAACACACGACAATTGTTACAAATTTTAGGGTAACCCGACACACCTATTATAAATTTGCAAAAAATAAGAAATACTTTCTTACGTCATTATCAGTTAAAGTGTCATCTCTGTCTTTAAATAAAGACTCGATAACTAAAACCTACCTGTTGTAGGAAATCTTTCAGAATTTGAAAGAACTACTTTGTTATCAAACATTGGTCTCTAGAAATTGCTAAAACATAAATGCATAGGTAGTTCAAAAATAATATATGTCTCATTGGCATTGAACTTATAACAGCACAAAGTGAAATAGAATTTCTATTTAAAAATAAAGTGCATCATTAAGAAACCTTCCTCTGAAAATGTCCACGTTTCTAATAGAACACCTGCATACCTATTTAGTTTTTGTTTACTTTCCAGACCGATGTGCATTCTTTTTGTGTTATTGTAGTGACCTAAATGGACTATGATTGGATGATTGTTGATGGAATAGCACATTGTGTGTAGTGTTCTAGTAAATCATACATTCGTATGCATATATAAGAAGACAACAGTGGCGACGACGACATCATGACATCACTTTGATGCAGTGTCAAGTTAATTATAGTGACGGGAATTACAAAAACAACTTTATAAAAGATCACTTTCAGCACGAATGACAAAGTATGTCTGTTGCTATAGTTGTACAAGCGACGAACCCATATGAATGCCCACCTATACTTGTTTGAATGCATACAAACCATTCCTTATCGTTTATTGCAATGTGCGCGCAAATGTATTTGGGATAATAAAATCACATCAATATATAAAAGAAAATGAAAGAGCTTTAATAAATGGCAATGTTATGACATGCCGATCCAGTACAAGAGTATTCGTATGTTACTCAATGGCAAACAAATTGCAACTTGAAAGCGTCTGCCTTCCCAAACATAAAAATAAGTAATGCAATTTATGCTTTCGGAATTCCCTGATTGTTAGCATTTTGTCATACTAATGTACACGCAGTTCGTTAATCATTTTATACGCAAAGTAATAATAGCAAATTAATTCTGATTCATGAGTAACAATAACAAAGTAATATGACTTGAGAGAAAAAGAGTGTTTCCTATTAGCTTCCAATCTAATTACATTATTGTATGCTGTTGTCCTTATTATAAACAAGAATGGATTAAGATAAATTAACATATTAAACGTATATGATATTTATATTTCGCTAAAGACCTTAAATTAACATAATGTTGTCTTGTTAAAAAAGCCTAATTATTTGTATCAAACGATGAATGCTTCGTTCATATATTTCAACACCATGTAAACATATCGGAAATGCGGGCAAAATGAATGGCATTCAATCGTGACACACCTTTTGTTACGATAATGCACAAAGTTAACAAATTTAACACACGGCCAGAAAACAAACAAGCAATTGCAAAGTCATACTATGGACATGACTTCATAACAGACCTCATCATTGTCCATGTCTACGCCTATGTTTGTATTCGAGCATGTTGGCTGGGAATTATTGTTGGTCCCAGTTGTCCTAGCTGATAATACACGCGTCAGCTTAGTCAAGTCAAATTGCTTATCACTTGATGTTGATGGTGGTGGCATATTTGTGTATATTTCCTATACATAAAGTTACATTTATTTCTGTCGACAAGAACCATTCAGTATTCAGATTTATACTTATTTGTTCCATTTTATTAATCCGAAATGTACTTCGTGTCACTGTTGTGGGTTGAATTCTTCCTCTTTCCTTTTTTTCTTCTGGGTGTTGAATTTCTTGTGTTGTGGTTTCAATTTCATTTCATCACACTTAGTTTTGTTTTGATTAAATAATTTTTTGCATTTGTTAACCCAGACATACATACCACAGTAATTAAACATCGATACACGTTTAGACAAGAGGCTAGTTGACAGTCTTCTCACTTCAACAAATAGCGACTGTAGTACATAGCTTTGATGAAATAGTCCGATGGCAGTATGAGAGCAAAGCTTTTTTTGGCACAGATATAACGCTAAGCTGGATCGATGTGCGTTGAATTTTCAATTAGTTGATTACATTGCATAATACATTCATTGTATTTTAGATGAAAGAAACCATTTAAAATATATTGTCAAAGAAACACATTTCCATTGCAATTTCCAAATTAACTATGCTATATTGGGAAACGTTGTTACATTTTATTTAGTCTGTGAATCGCTGCATTTCTGATCGGGAAATTGTGCATATTATCTGCAATTTAGATATTAGTAAGTTTAAAAAGAAACACCAACAACTTCGTAGTAATATTTTGAGACTATTGCTGTACCAGTAACAGTTCACCAATCAATTGGTATTAGGGTTAGTAGTACTATTGTAGTGCTGTTTTTATTTTATTGTGGGACCCATATTCAAATATTTGAAATATTGCAGTTTTTAGCTTATCAATGTTGACATTGGAAGTTTGGAAGTATGTTTCCTGTGCCATGGCTATAATTTATAACCCATTTTTGAGTTGAGCAATTTTGTTTCTATCTACTAGATATTCAATTAGTTCTCGTAATTATTTTGGTACGTTGCCGCCGAATGATGCCTTAACACTTGTTTTAACACGATTATTGAACAGTAATTAAAAAGGTTTCCCCTTCGTCTGTGCATGTACTGAAATAGTTTTATCTTTGCAATTCGTATTGATAATGTTTGCCTGTAGTATAGAAATATATTGTACGTATTCACATCGTCAATTTGAACCACTCAAAAAGAAAAAAACAAATGTTCAATCAAATAATTTTCTTATATGTTCTGAGACTTTCAATATTTTCGCATACATCACGAAGTTATTTAAATGTCACTTAGAACTCCTTAGAGACAATAAATTATGCGCTTGCGTTATTACATATAATTACACTTAAATTTGCTTTTAATTTTGTAGTAAACTAAATTTAAGTGTTATATAAAGACTTGTTTTAAGTGGCAACAATAAAATAAAGCAAACTACTTTTTAACATTCATTACCTGCCCCCATATCCAAATATATAGCCATTGTTAGCTAGTGTAGATAGTTAACGAAAACATGGTGTCTACACGAACATTGTCACAGTCGTTCTGGCAAGTGTACCGGCATTTCACTTCACATTTCAGCAACAACTACACACACTATTTATTATGTCATTCGATTGCAATTTGTTTTTATATTTGATAAAAGTGAAGAATGAATTCACAACTCCGATGTTTTTGCGAGCTACCTGTGGCAATAGTAATAGGCAGATTAAGTGAATAAAAGGTTAAAGAATATGCACTTATCTATACGACTTATTTTATTTACTTTGCCGGAGTATTCTAAACTATGAGGTCGTCTCTTTGATTTTGATGAATTGAATTTGAATAATATGACAGTTTTAAGCATCACATTTTTGTCATTGTGCTAACTAGCCTTTTGAATGCGGCAATCAAAGCGTTTCTTATTTTCTTACATCGATGATGACAAATCGAACTCTTTCGCCACCAACATCAACGCCAATAGCACTAGCAATGATTCGTGTGGCGTTTCGCTTAGTTTCTTTCTAACTTTCTAACCTTCTTCGGGCAAAGATATTTGTCTGTTGACTTGAATAGTGTATTTTTTCGATTCAAGCGTCCACAGCCATTGTTGTTGTTATTGTATTCTATTGGCATATTATGTTTACAGTTTGCTTTTATTGGAGTTTCCGTATACAACAAATTTCCCCACCAAAAATTGGTGGTCAAACGTTTAGCTTTTTAAAATAGAAATGGGGTCTATCCGCTTCATGCATTTGGTAGTTCGTGGGTTATTATACATATTTCGTTTATTGTGTTGTTCTTGTAGTTGGACAACGACATGCAAATTTGGTCATGCGTTAAATCATAAAAAAGACATTGCTTTTGTCGTGTTGACCCACAATTGTTAGTGGTGTCACCAAAGACATTTACCTTGTATTATCTTTACACGCACACACTCATGCCCACTCTTAATGTGGGATTGTTTGTTTTACGGTTTTCTTGGATGTCGTTGACATTTGACTGTCATGTAAAAAAATGGCTTGCCTTCAATGATGGGCACATTCCTAACAAGTGTTGGAATAATTAATTCGCTGATATAATCAAGGTTGTAAATTGAGAAAAACAAAAAATAAATGGCTTTGTATGACTTCCAAGCTACTAGTTGTTTTTGATGATCTTTTTGAAGTCAGCAATGTAAAAAAATGTCTTTAATAAATTAACTCATTTCGTCTTTGCCTCAAGGGTTCTAAAATCTTATCAATAACAACAGCCCCCTATTTGTAATATGAAAAACCCATAGCTCGCACCGTGATTGCCAGTGGCACAATAAATCATGTTTTATGATTTTAATTAGGTGCCAAACGCAAAACATCAGGGTATGCGATGATGTGTATAACGATGCAATATTGTGCCGTGTATCTAATATTCCAATCATCAGTATGAACGCATAGTTAGGAAATAATTACGGCCATACGATTCTGTTGCAGCGGTATTTCTTGGATGTTCGATATGAGAACAAGGGAAAGAACTCTGACGTTATTTATGGTGAATATTTTGCACAGTGTGTTTGTTGCATTAAATCGTAATACCAAATTACACTGCAATAAAACAATTTACATCGTTAGAAGACAAGTATGCAAAAAAAAAAAAAAAAATAAATAAATAAATAAATAAAATAAATGTGAAATTTCGCAGAAATAATGAACTTTTTCGAACATTCTTAGCTCTATTTGTTCTTACCCCAATGGATCGCGGGGCGACCTCCATTTTATGTGAGGAATCTTACCATAGAAAAAATTAGTAGGCATTGAAATACCAACTACATTTTTTCCTTCATATTCATTCATTCATTTAAAACCATAATTATTTTAGACTTTATTATGTTATTTGTACACATTTCTACGGTACCATAGAAAAAAGATGTTAAATGCCATTATGGTGTGAGTTGGTAAAGCCAAAATTACTATTCTAATGAAAAACTCTCTGTGCAAAGAGAATATATTGTTTTTGCACTTATTCAATTTTATCAGAACAGATGGCATAAACTTATATACTTATATAGAGTAAAAAATACCGGTCCAAAATGACTTCCTTGTACAATAAATGAACACTCTCAAAAAACACTTAATTTTTTTAATTAATTAGGAAGGCATCTATGATAATAATTTATTACTGAAGACCATGTGGATTACTGTATATTGTTATAATAACAACAAATTCATTTTGGTTACAATTGATGCATCGCCTTGCGACTATGGATGTGAAGAATAAATGCTATATTTATATACATATTTGAGTATTTCTATATTTGTACTAATTTTTAATTGTATGACCATTGCTGAACGGCATAAAGTTCACTGTGCAATGGAGGAATTGTTAGATTCGAACGTCAAGCGATAAGGAAAACTATTTTTACCTGTGTGGGTATTGATAAAAGCATATCTGGGTGCGATTCACACCTGACTGACTGATTTCTAAATATTTTTCGCCCAAATATTGGTGCTTTCAATCGAACACCCCGCGGCAATCAGTCGACTTTTGCATTTCGTCGCGTTAGGCCACATCGCACTTCGAAAAAGGATTGTCAGTGATTTGTGTGAATTGGAATTTCTATCAATTGTTGTAAAGTAATATATTAAATCAAAAACAACAACATGGCCGATATTTTGGATTTGGAACATCATCAAATTTTGGAGGAGTACAAACAAAATCTTGAGGAAATTTTGCCAACTGTATGTTTCGTTACAGCAGAACTTCCTCTGCCAATGACCCCATCCTATAGATTTCCAAAAATAAATGACAAACAATATTTTCACAAGTTTTAATGTTCAGCAGAAGAGTGTGAAGAACATTTATTGGTGCACCAACACAGCACCATTGTTTTATCTTATCTGCAACTGCGTGCAAAAGAAGAATTTTTTCAAATTGCTGATTAGCAATTCATTGGAAATTAAATCGAATGTGGCAATGAATTCTAGAATAATAACATACATACATACATACCTATATGAAGTAATAATAATTGAAGCAGAAGACGTACAACTGATACGAAATAGTATTGGCATTTACTGTTACAGTCACCGCATATCTTTATGCCTCTGTCCCTATTCTACATACATGTATATATATTTATATTTATCTATCTATAGTATGTCATTCCGCTAAGCGTCTGTGTGTTTATTCAAATTCAAATGTTAAGTGTTAGAGAAATTGGAATAAGAAACAAACGTAGGTAGTGTTTTGAGCGTATAAGCTCAGAAAACAGGTTTCATTTTGTCGGTGATGATTAAATGCGAATAGACCGGTGTGTCACCCGCTACCAATTACTTTCAATGTTAAAACTGTAAATAGACAGTCAGCGCTTTGGTTTCGTAAAAAAAAAAAAACAATGAATGAATCTGAACTGGAATTAGTCACTCGCCATTGAGGAACTCTTGTAATGGATGACTCACACCTATGTATTATGAATGCAGTATAATATATTTATTCATAGCGAGATACAAGATACAATTTGGAATATAGTTGTTAATATATTTACTTTATCGATTTCAGATTGATGCCAACAAAGATGGCTTCATTGATCTTAGCGAGCTTAAATCTGCTTTGGATCAAGTTGGCTTCAAATTGCCTGGCTATCAAGTGCGTGAGATGATTGATGAATTCCAAAATAAACAGCGCACAGCCCATCAGGGCAAACTTAATTTGGAGGAGTTTGAAAATTTGTGTTTGGATCTCAAGTCAAAGGATGTTGCCAGCACATTCAAGACCGTCGTCTCAAAGAAGGAAAATCTTGAAACCTTGGGTGGTATGTCGAGCATCTCATCGGAAGGTACAACACACTCGGTGCGCTTGGAAGAGCAATTGGCTTTCTCCGATTGGATCAACTCCAACTTGGGCCACGACCAAGATCTGAAACATCTACTTCCCATAGATGCTGAGGGCAAACGCTTGTACCAATCAATTAAGGATGGTATTTTGTTGTGCAAAATTATTAATCACTCCTGCCCCGATACCATTGATGAGAGAGCCATTAACAAGAAAAATCTCACTGTCTATCGTGAGTTTGAGAACTTGACATTGGCTTTGGTTTCGTCGCAAGCTATTGGTTGTAATATTGTCAATATTGATGCCCACGATTTGGCCAAGGGCAAACCTCACTTGGTTTTGGGTTTGCTATGGCAAATCATTCGCATTGGTCTCTTTAGTCACATAACCTTGGATAGCTGCCCGGGATTGGCAGGGCTTTTGTTCGACAATGAACGTTTGGAAGATTTAATGAAAATGTCACCAGAAGCTATTTTGCTACGTTGGGTCAATCATCACTTGGAGCGTGCTGGCATTTCCCGCCGTTGTACCAACTTCCAATCGGATATTGTTGATTCGGAAATCTATACGCATTTGCTCAAGCAAATTGCTGGTAACGATGTCGATGTCAATATGGATGCCTTGCATGAAAAAGATTTGGTATCTCGTGCCGAAATTATGTTGCAACAAGCAGCCAAATTGAACTGCCGCAGCTTCTTGACACCACAGGACGTTGTCAATGGGGTCTACAAGTTAAATTTGGCTTTTGTTGCTAATCTATTCAATAATCATCCTGGCCTAGACCAACCGGAACAAGTTGAGGGTCTTGAATCCATTGAGGAAACGCGCGAAGAGAAAAGTAAGCCTAATACATATTTGCCTCAATTATTTAACTTAACAATTTTATATCTTTAGCTTACCGTAATTGGATGAACTCCATGGGTGTGAGCCCACATGTGAATTGGTTGTATTCGGATTTGGCTGATGGCTTGATAATCTTCCAATTGTGCGACATTATTAAGCCTGGCATTGTCAACTGGAATCGCGTCCACAAACGTTTTACACCGCTGCGCAAATTTATGGAAAAATTGGAGAATTGTAATTATGCTGTGGAGTTGGGCAAGCAACTTAAATTCTCCCTGGTTGGTATTGCTGGGCAGGACCTGAATGATGGAAATGCAACCTTAACTCTAGGTTAGTAACTGTAAATTAAACCACTATATATAAAATAAATAATTCAACTTTATTTCTGTCAGCTCTCATTTGGCAACTGATGCGAGCCTATACTTTATCTATCCTCTCCCGATTGGCCAATTCTGGCAACCCAATTGTCGAAAAGGAGATTGTACAATGGGTCAACAGTAAACTTTCAGAGGCCGGCAAAGAAACGTCTCTCAAGAATTTCAATGATCCAGCCATTGCTGATGGTAAAATTGTTATTGACCTCATTGATTCCATCAAGGCTGGCAGTATTAATTACGATTTGGTGAGAACCGGTGGAACAGAAGAGGTATGTTTTCGAGGTCGATAATACCTAGCAAATAATTCTGAGAGTAGTTAATAACGTACAGTAAGAGTTGGTTTTTTCAAGTCAAGATATTTTTGTGGTAAATTGAAAGCGAAGCAAAAGATAAAAACAGCTCCATACTCTTATGTTTAATTACTTAAAAGTCCAAATAAGACTTGCAGCAAGTTTTCATAAACATTTAAATCTTCTTTTAGGATAACTTGGCCAACGCTAAATATGCCATTTCTATGGCACGCAAGATTGGTGCACGAGTTTATGCTCTACCAGAAGACATCACTGAAGTTAAACCCAAGATGGTTATGACCGTGTTCGCCTGCATGATGGCTTTGGATTACATCCCCAACATGGATAGTGTTGAGAATCAAAACAACATTAACAATAGCAATTAAATGACAAGCCAAGATGCCAAATGCAACAACATACCAACCTAAACATCGAGAATAAATCCACCTCCACAACAAATATTTATGATAAAAACTGATTGATTTATGAGAGAAAGAAAATGTGAATTGAAAAGAAAATAACAAAAGGGATGGGTATTGTGCATAAGGAAGCTTTTAAAATGACGATTCGAATCAAGCAGTATTGGAACATAGTGCCGTTTTTTGTGCAGCGATTCACATAAAGGACCATAACCTTCCTGAAGCATATACACATACACACAAACCACGCCAATTAAGTAATTATGTATTTATATATATTTTTTTAGACTTACGTATATTTTTTGTACAAATGTAACCCGTTGAAATTAAATGATAATCTTTTAAGCTTAAATTTCAACGTCATTTGTAAGCTTGTTTTGACTTACTTTTTATATACTACTATTATAAAAATACGTACCGATATGATTTTAAAGTAAATCTTTTATTTTGTTGAATTTCGATTGCGTTCTACGTAGAAATATTTTGTTTCAAAAAACCTTATTTTATAAATAAAGGTTAAGCTATAGAAATAAAAAGCATAAACAAACAATGAGAGCAGTGCATAAAAAAATACAAAGAGGAGGAGTAGGCACATTTGCTATTAAGATGTGAGAAATAAATAAATATATATTTTTATACGACTGTCTGTATCTCTCTATTTAATTGTAAGCTTTGGCAGAAACCTTGCAGCCATCATGTCTTTCAGTTCCTTAACAGTTCAGACAAAAATCTAGCACAAGAAATTTGCGCGCTCTACAAGACGCACATTGATTTTCAGAAAAATTACAAATATCCGCCTCAGTGCCATCAAGTAATTGTGGAGCAAACTACAAGAGACACAAGCATTCATTTTATACGCGTGCAACTACACAAGTGCGTGGAATGTGCAATAGAAACTACCCTCCACCTATATAGATAGGTATAAACGAATTTTGTCGTATGTCTAAGCTTAACCCCTTGAGGCACGAAGAGTTGTATAGAAAAAAAAAGACACCACATAATTTAAGTTTTATTTTTTTTTTTAATTTTATTTTAAATAAGTTTAAAGGTCATAAGAGAAAATAAATCGAAAAGAAAATCCACAAGTATCTGTATTCTGTATAAAGATTATAAAAACCAATAAAAAATAAATTCAAACAAAAACTGCAACATAATTTATGTTCGCATGACTCTTTATGCCAATAAATCATGCTTATCATCAATGGATGACGACGGAGTCGATAAGGGTGGTCGTGTCACATTTTCATATGTATACATTACGGTTCGCTTGTAGATACGTTTATGGGTGTTTTCCTTATTTTCCTCTTTCATCGAATCTGTTTTGTGTTGGGTAGTATCGCTATAGCAATGAATTGTATTTTCGCCCACCGACGTTTCACAGTGGTAACATACACTTTCTCGGCTGCGTTTTTGTGTACATGTTGGTACAGCACTATCATCCGACCTTGATGTCTTTTCAAAGGAATTCTCCACACTTTCGCTTGGCAAGAGTTTACGCTGTTTGCGATATTTATTTTCAATTTTTATTGCAAAACTTTTAGGTGCAGACTGTCTGTTATAAGAACAGTTCTCCGATGTTTCACCATTTTTATTTGTACAAATTCTGCAATTGCTGTGATTTTTTATAACATTTTTACAGCGTTCGGCTTTGTTATAGAATTTCGATTCTTCGGTAAGAGGAATTTCATCACCTCCCTCTTCGCTTTCTTCTGCAGAGAGATTTTCCACACCACTGTCGTTGCTGCCCTTATCATAGTTCTCTGTGCTTGTACTGTCTGAATTGGCTTTAGTGGAATCTCCAAAATATTTCTGAACAAATGTCTCATATGCAGTATCGTAGTCATATGGCTGAACTTCAGGCGAAACACCATCAGCTCTTCTTTGTAGAGGTATGTTCCTTTCAGCGCTGCGATTTGGAACTGTTTGTCCGTTAGATTTTTCTTTGCTCATTTGCGAGTTATTGTTGTTAAAATTAGAAGGTTGCTTTTGCCCAGAAATAAAAGTGTCCAAGGAATACAAAAGATCGCCAGGTTTAATCTTTTCCCAATCGATTGTATCTTCATTTGGTGTTACACTGCAATCAACTTCAATAGAAATGTATACAATCACAAAAATAAATCCCTTTGCGATCAACATCTCTTTCCCATTTGTATAATTTACTGACTGAAATGATAGCAATTGTGGCGTATATAAAGCTTATTCATTTCGATTGATTTTCCATAGAGCATAACGTAACGTAATAAGAAAAAACAATTTTTGATCAAACCACAATTTCTGGTCAAAGCGGAAATGCAAAGGAGTTTAACAATAAAGTCATTAACGTTGACTAGCAATTTGTATGATTTTCAATTTGGAATCATTTTTTATATTGAGTAATAGTTTGTTTCGGTTTCTCTTTTGTATTCCTGGGACGACGATGGAGTCTACCGACCTGTTGTAATGAAAACTTTTAAGGTGGTAAAATAGCATTAATAGAAATCTGATAAACAACGCCAATCTTATCTGCAATTAAATCATTGGGAGTAGATATAGCAATTATTTTATTGTATTGTGTATCATGGTTTATAATACCATATTTTAATGTTTAAATTAACTTTAAAAATATACTGAAATACATATATGTACATAAATATATGTTCTTTTTTGAACTAAACATTCAAATCCTTTATTTCCTAATCGAATTCCAAACTTTAGTCTATAAAAAGTTGTTGTAGAACAAACATGTGGAAACATAAAAAATATTTAAGGAAACGGTATTATGAAAAAACAAATAAGGTACATAAATATTGCATACATATTTTAATCAATACTACGAAACAACCTTGGATGGATTGAGGTCGTTTGCAGGAATGTTGTTTGCCATTTGCTTGTATTTAAGTGACTTTTGGCGCATATTTCTCATCTCTCGTCTTTTTTCTCGAATCAATTGTTTTGTCTGTTCATTATCCATTTCCTCCCAATCACCGGTGTCCTCATCTTCCCAGTCTTCTAAATCTGCCTACATTACGAAAAAGAAAATACTTGAAAAAATGTCCTTAGATCCAATATAACGACTCGGATCGTTCGGCGCGCAGACTAGTTATATCTATCCACATTTTATTTTTAATAAACGAATGATCTCTTTGAACATGCCGAATATTTGAGCCAAGCGTGACCTAATGATTATTTACATTTTCCGAATTACTTTTAAAGACAGACAATGACAAACATTTCGAAAAAGTCATTATCAGACCAGAACTACAGAAAATAGCTATAATACAATTTAGAACGATCCGAGTGAGGCTCCCAATTTGGGCAATTAATGTATGGAGCAAGTTGAGTTTATGCTCGGATCATTTAAAAATTTTTATAACTGGTAGTTATTTTTGAACTGATTACGGCAAGTAATTTGGGCAAGTAATATATGGAGCAAGTTGAGTGTATGCTCGGATCATTTAAAATTTTTTATAACTGGTAGGTATTTTTTTTTTGAAAAACCCCTAAAAAGTTGAAAATGTACCCATAATGGGGTGTTAAGATCAACATTCTACATTATAGCCTACACTCTTGCTTTTCCAAAATTGTGCCAAAAGTAGCTGGCCTTCGGCCGGTCTGGAGATTTTGTCCTCTGGGTATGTCCAACATCGGCTACGCGTTGTTGTTTTTTCTAAACTTTATAACTTTTGTAAGTAGCCGGCATTCGGTGTGGGCTTTAGATTTTCTCGTAGGGGGTATGTACATCACCGGCTACGCGGTTCATAGTTTTTCTACATTTTATAACCTTTGTAAGTAGGCGACCCTTGGCCGGGGCTTGAGATTTTCTTCTCGGGGGTATGTCCAATTTCTTATTTTAAGGCCTAAACCATCGACTTTAGAAAAACCGCAACGAAAAATAAATCGGAAGGTATATCTAGGCTACCAATTCTAGTATTCAAACGCGGAATAATAAGACCGAGAAATGACTGATGTACCAATAGAATTTTTTCGTTGGCTGTATGACATGTGGCGCCCTCTTATTGAAACCACATGCCCTCCACATTAATTTCTTCAATTATAGACAAGAAAAAACTGGTTATGATCCCGCCGAACATTATTGACTATTTGCGCTTGACCAGCCCAAATGCGCTATTAACGAAGTCATCAAGATAGATATGGGCCTCGGCACTGAAGATGTTTTTCGGCAAAATCAACATTTTCATATTGTCTCGCCAATACCCAATAAACGAACCCATTCGTACATTCTACAACATTTGTTGAAATGTCAAACAATGACACTTCCTATGGCACAAAATTTAAAAATTGCTCTCTATTTGGGACACCCTTTATTAGTGGAGAAAATCTCTATTTTATGATTTTATCACTAATATCTCGAAAGACGTACAAAGACTACAAAACATATCAATTCAATACACCATCTTGGAAAGGCAAGAGTGTAGGCTATAATGTAGTATGTAGATTTTAATGTAATGTTTTAAATACCAATTTTCTTATATTACTGCGAAACAGGCTCAAACAACATCATATATATGACCACTCGTTGGATAGGTATTTTCATAAGCTTTTCATTTTGTAAAAGACAACGTATTTTGTATCCGAACTTTCGGGTGGAATAACAGGGTATTTCCCCCACAAAAAAATTTTTGAAAAATACCTTCATATAAAAAATTTTTCAGGTCAATCCGAGCATAGTCTCCAAACTCAAATTAAGCCCAATATATGACTGTTGGACTCTGTTCCATTCTTGCAGTTCCGGAACAGACGAAATATGTATGATTGATTTCAGCTACTTACATTTAAAGCTATTGGTACATCTGTTTTCGCCGCCTGCAAACGCGAGAAATCTTGCTGGTCTTGGGTATTATCTGCCAGGTAATATTTTGGCTGTGGCCTTATAACAGGAGTTAATTCCTATATATACCTCAATATTACTATTTTTCAAGAGATAAAATCTAGACATGAACTCAACATACCTTAAAGAAGTCAGGTTCATTTACTTCAGCCTGAGGGGTTGGGGGCTTAGCAATTTGCTGTCTGTATTGTTCAATATGCTCTTGAACTGACCTAGGACTGTCGTCCCATGAGTTCCAATCACGTTCAGGAGGAGCCGTCTAGTCCAAAATAGAATAGTATAAAATGCCATCTTAAAAAACATATTTTCTTACCGAAATATTTGTGGAAATTGGCGGAGGAGCGTAATTGGATTGAATGACGACAACATTATTCATTGGCTCTGAATAGCTGGGTTTCCTCTTCCGGGAGAAACAACATAGTGCTCTTCTAAATAAACCGAAAATACTCAAAAAGAGTATCTTTATTTGCTGGAAAACCATCCTCGAGGAGTTGATTGTCGTCTCTGCTTCAAGTGCGTTGGAAACAAAAATGAAAATCGTCCCAACGAAACGAATGTGAAGGCCACAAAGGAACACCCGATAAAAAATAAACAGAAAGCAGACTCGAGGTACTCTGTTGTTTACGAATGAGTGTAATGCATAACGCCCGGGTACTCTGTTGTTTACGAATGAGACATGAGAAAATTGAACATTTTCACTAAAGAGCGCGGATCTAGTTGCTACTATCGTTTGCCGAACTCGACTATGGACTTGATGGAAACCGAGTACTCGACTATTCATAGTCAATTTTTCGACTTAAGCATGTTATCATTGCAATTTCAATCACGTTGTTCGCTCTCAAAATTAACCCGTTCATACGGCACGATTCGTAATTCATAACATAGTTCCTTTTTCAAAATTTTTGTTTGTTGATTTTTATAGGAATTTGTAAAAAAGTACATGAAATTATAATAATAATAATAATAATAATAATAATAATAATAATAATAATAATAATAATAATAATAATAATAATAATAATAATAATAATAATAATAATAATAATAATAATAATAATAATAATAATAATAATAATAATAATAATAATAATAATAATAATAATAATAATAATAATAATAATAATAATAATAATAATAATAATAATAATAATAATAATAATAATAATAATAATAATAATAATAATAAAAACAATTATTGTTTTTCCTCCAAAGATTTTTTTTACCTTTCATTCAACAATTTTCGTTCAGACTTTGTCATAAGACTTTAAAATAAATTTATATATTATTATTTATATAGTTTATATATTTTGAAGGCATCTTTATAGATGTATAATACTGGATTTTTAATGAATATTTCTTTTTCTTTTGTAATTATTCTCGGTGCACTTACAGAATCAATCTTCGTGAATACCTTTTTATATTTTTTAATACCTATTTATATAGATCTCATTTTTCTTAATTATACTAATAAGGATATTTTGAAATGTCCTTTTGTTGAAGTAGTTTACTCATCATGTATTATATTTATAGTAGTTTATTTTTTTGTATTATTTTTATAGTAGTAAATTTAATAAATTTATCTGAATGTGTAGTCGTAAGCTGTGACCACCTTTTATAAAGAACCAAACGGTAATACTAGTTTAAAATAAAACTATTTTTCGACATGTTACACACAAACTCTTAAAAGTTTGATATAAATAAATAATTTTCTCAGAATTTTGAATTGTGGACCATAGGACGAAAAACTATTTTTAATATAGGGCTTAATTTTGTGAAAAACCCTTAAAAAGAGAAGGAATATATTAAAGCGGGGTCCGAAAACAATTTACCACATTTGAATTCTCATTAGTTGTTTTTATTTATGCCAAACTTATTGTTATTTCAGATCACGGTCAATAATTAAACTCAGAATAGATGAAAAGCAGTCGTAAATGCATATAGTTCAGGAGCGATTAATATAAAAATTATCCAGTATACACCTGTACAATATTATTACTACCGCATTTTTTATTTATATTTAAATATTGTTATATGTCAATTCGCATTCACAATTTTATACACTTACAGCATAAATGTTTTTAAAAATGTTTACAGTATATTATACTGTTAACATTAGTCAGTGCTGTTATACATCTTTGGATATGTACTATATCTAGATAGAACTGGAATAACTAGATACTCAGATACCATTTGTCTGGATCTTTTCTCTTCTGCGGAACTTTAAAAATATAATTTCTAAAATCCAGGGAAATGCACATAGTCCCATAAAGAAGTTCAGACAGTGGAAGGTAAGAATATAGTCCTTGGTCATATCTCGCAAATAGCCAACGAATGGGCCAACGGCAAACATAACATTGCCTTGCATAAACATGAATAGTCCATAACCAGTTGCAAATCTGAAAAATATGGATGTTTTTTTTTTTTGTGAAATTAGCAAAGTGGAGACTGATAGGGATAGTACTGATTTTGTTTTTACCTTTCCTTGGGCAAATATTCGGCAAAAATCAACGGCAGTGGCACATGAATCCAAGTACGAAGGAATCCCATAACCGCTGTAATTATGGCCATTCCCTTGAAGCTGGATACATTGAGGAATACTAAAAACAAGAATAAATATACCATAGACCAAATCAGAAAACCCCAGTATGATTTACAATTTTGTTTTCATCTCCGACATCTACAAACATCATTAACATCATTACTCATTGGTTGAAGTTTTGTTTTGAACGATTCATGGAATTCTAAAACTATTACTTTAATATTTATTTGTGCTATAACTTTTTACAACTTTCGCTTGCGCAAACGTAGATAAGAACTCTTAAGTGTGGCAGTCTTAGCAACTCACAATGGTATCGAGGAGGTTGCGATTAGTGAATCTTAAGCGGGACAAAAGAAAAATAAAACTTACGACTGGATATGCCTAATACGCGAGAAACTGTTATCTATTTAGACATTTTATGACCGACAACCGTTCGGGCGATTAATCGTGACGTTTTTAAAAGGAGGTAATAAACAAGTTTATCTGCAATAGGTATTTGCATGTGTATCAGTTAGTACACACCTTCCATTATGTTACAGATAAATAAAATGGGATTGCAAAACCTTTCAAAATTCTTTAAAAAAATTAAAAATGTAACTAACATTTTGATGTTCTATTATTCGAGAACAACTTAAATTCCTTCTGAAATCACTTGTTTCAGGTTGCTTGCTGGACAAATAACAAAGACATGAAGTATAACGATGATACAATAGAGAGGTGAAATATTATATATGATATCATAACCACATCGTTACCATAGTAAATTCGGTTCGATTTTAACCGCTAAATTGTATTTCTCTGTCATGTGCTGTTCCTCTACATATTATAGCCGCTAACCATTTTCTTATAATACATTTTTGAGGCTCTAGGTATTTATGACTTTGCAAATACAATGTAAATACAACACCACGAAAATTAAAAAAAAGTTTGTGCAAAACGTGTTCCTGACTACAAAATTAATTCGGTTTTATAAAATTTTACTGAAATAATTGCAATACATTTTGTTAAACCCTAGATGGATATGCGTACATCTATGGAAACTTTCGAATGTGAGAGATGGAGTATATTGTACCGTTGTATATTATCATCAACACACAAAAAATTCCGTTCTGATACTTACCAAAACGCGATAATACTGTGAAGAAGGACCCAGCCAAATATATATACCTGGACGGCACTTGTATGAAAACGGCCAGAAATGCTAGAAATATTCTCGAACCCAAATCTGCCGCCGCTCCGATTGCAATGATGCTTGCTGTGTCCGGCTGTAAAGGATACCAAGTACTTTAGCAACATTTTCATTTCGACAGTACAAAAATACCGACCTTATTGAAACCCAACTCGAACATATACAATGGTTGCAGCGTAAAAAAGGCAATATCCGAATATAAAGCGAAGGATATACCCAAAACGATATTGACATAAATGGGTTTCTTTAACAACGTCAAATCCAGAAAATCAACAACGATTTGCCATTTAGACTTTTTCGTCTCCTTCTTATCTATGCTGCTGTGCGTTTGGGCTGACACAACCGTGGATGCTCGTCGCGATCCTATGATGTTGAGCATTTCAGGTGAGGCGTCACTCACAACCATGGCGCCAGACCAATTGCCTAAACTGGCAATGCTGGAGCAACGGCTTGATATTTTTTCCATTTGAATCGATAATTTTCGCGGTCCTATATTGGAGGTCGATACAGATAAATGGTTCTTATCGTGACTCACTTCACTTAAGGGCTTTGGTTGTTCGGGAGTTTTCTCCGGTAGTGGTTCATTTTGGTTGAGATTTTGCATTTCTTCATCCGTACAAGGAACAACACGCATATGCCATTCTACAGGTTGCATCAGAAGCATGCCTAGAATGGCGTGAGAATTTATTGCTGCCAGAACCATAAGGCATCCCCGAAATCCATACCACTCCAGAAATTTTTGCATGAGCACTGGATAAAACATAGAACCCAATCCAATTAACGATTGGGAAAAGCTCATCCACATTATACGCTTCTTGACGAAATAGTTGTTGAAGGTGGTATAGGATGTGGGTACAATGAGACCAAAACCAACACCCTGGATCAGACTAAAGGCAAAAATCAAGCCAATAGTTGATGTGACGAAAATTTGTAGCAGCGAGCCGCCGAAATACAGGAATCCTCCCCAAAGACCCACGGTCCTTAATCCAAAACGGTTAAACAGAGACCCCGAAAAAAGTCCCGCAAAACTGAACGAAAAGAAAAAAGCGCTAGTTATAAATCCAATGGCACTCGTCTCGGCTCCAATACTTTTAAGAAAATCTCCGAACACCAAACCAAAGGATGGCAGTGCTGCCAAACCGCTCACCTAAATAGACACAACACTCAAATAGATTTCAAAAAAGGATTAGACACCGAATACATACGAAAGGCATTGCCATGCCAATGCAAACGAGTATCCCCCAACCGCCATCAGGTGCTTCTAAGCGTGTTCCCGACTTCATGCTAAGGCCTTTGCTAACAGCATCAACGTCTAAGTACAAATGATTTCGAGAATCATTTCACAATTTGGACAAGCTCTAATAATTGTCATTCATCATGGGAGTTTTCACCACAATTTCAATGGACTGGAAGTGGGAGGCAGGCGGGTGGCAAGAGATAACATTGATAAGACAACTTCAACTTTATAACTAGCCATAAACTAGACTGCACTACAGACGTGTAAATATAAAGTCTTTAAATAAATAAGGAGCCATACCTCCTCAGAGCATCGAAGCCAAAAAGTAGTTGAAGGTATTACCAAGCATCAGATAATGATACAAAACTACGATGCCGTGATAATCACTGATGTGTGTAAATTTTAGACGTATTAATTAGGTGAATTATTATCTATATATGCGTCTCACGAGGGGGGCTATTTTTACCGGTCGACTTCAGCTGGCAGCAAGGTTATAAAAACACCATTTCTATCAATGTTTAATTTGTTCAACTTTGAAACTTTTTGGTAACAGCGTTACTCAAAATTCAACGTAGCGTACAAAAATATTCAACTTCCCCACAATGGTAAAATGTCCGTATTACCCAAATACGCAAGGTTCATATATTGAAATGTTGTAAAAATTTAATATTTATCAAATTAACATAATTGTTATATTCTGCAACTACAAACATTTACATATTTTGTACGCACAACGCACGGTCGTGATCAACTATTTAAACATTTAAAGCATAGATCGCTATAAATGTAATTAGTATGCTTTCTTGGGATGTAATATTGCGTGTAAATACTGATTAGTGGTGTCTACACTTACCTCAACAAGTAGTACTTATTTTATCAGCTTTGTAAAACAAATTTTGAAATTAGTGGAATAGGAAAATGTTTGTATAAAAGTGTATATCCATGGTACAATGAAGACAAGGTAGGCTAAAATTGGAAGTATAGATAGATGTCTATTTGTTTGGCTTGTAATGTCTGAATTACTATCAAAACCATCAAAAAAACCGAACAACTTGTTGCATTGATTTTGACAAAATAATAGAAAAACGCGAAAACTGAATGAAAGTCAAAATTTATTTTCAAAATCATGTTACATATATTTCTACAGTTTTGTTTCGGTGCAAAAACTGTAGCATTTGTAAAACACGCGAATTTGAGTATTTTCTTAACAATTTTTTTATTATTGAAAAGAATATACACACATAAACAAATAAAGTTGACATATTAAGCCAAGAAAATAAAATTTTTAAATTGAATTAAAATTTTATTGTACCATGTGTATATCTATTTTATTTGTTGTTTGAGTTGAGAAAAGTGAGTACTTTAAACGTATAAAGGTCCCAGCTGCTGAGGTTATGTGCCGAACATGTTATTTATATTTTTCAGTGACCACTCAATAAAAAATATTATATCATGTAGAAATGGGTAAAAGTAACGGCTTGGAATAGGTCATAAAAACACAAAATTTATTGCGGACAGAATAGAAATGCGAATTACCAATAAAGGGAAAACAAAACTTTATATAAGATTTCGTGAAATTGTGAAAAATATTGTCTTATCAGTAGTTACCGTCATTAAATATTAGCTCAGTACGGTGCATTTGATTTAGATTCTGTCAATTTGAATGTTATACATACTTATTCTACTCCAACTTCAAAATACCAAATTTGAAATAATTATGTTGAAAATGAAAATTCCTGATATCGGGAAGTACCGTTATATGGGTGATATAGAAAAACGTGGACCTATATGGACAATATTCCGTCACCACACGTGCATCCCATTACAGAATACAAAAAATATAGAATTTTAAACAAATTCGTTAGAAAAAGGATTAAATAATAAGAATACCGAATATGGAGGGGTACCGTTATATGGAGGCCATAGCAAAGGTGAACCTATGTAGTAAATTGTTTGTTACAGTGTTTGGTATCTATTGCAACAAACTAGTTTGAAACACATCCGTTAAAAGTGTGCCTTAAATCTTTAAAATACTGAATTCAGGTACCGTCATATAGGGACTATTTAAATTTGTAGCTTAAAATGTAGCTTAAATCGAAAAAATACCGAATATTGAAAGGCACATTTATATGGGTGGTATACGAAAAATAAAACCTACCTTACCAGCATTTGGTCCTCGACGTAATAAGCCAACAATAAGTATTTGTACCAAAATTGATGCAATTTTGCCAACTCCTTCTATATTCTGGACACCTTGTACCGACGTATTTCGGTAACTAAATATGGAACAAGATGCAACATGATCTGCATTTTAGTCTTACCATAACTTTGTCACATTCACCACTTGTTTCAGGCGTCTAGATGTAATTCGGAATCACATGTCATTATTCTTTGACCACATCTTTGCTGGAATGTTTTATGTTTCAGTTAGTCGATCTTCTCATTACAAACATTGACAACCCAAGAAAGGGGTTTAGTAATTTTTGTGGAACAGATTAAGATAGTACGAAACCTTCTATGTTTTCATTGATATAAATAAAAAATAATTACATATACTTTGGTTACGTTATTTTTCTTTTAATTAATAAAATTTACACTTTCTAAAAATATTTATCGCATGATTTTCCTCCTAAATGTATTTGCATATATTACACATACAATTATAAGACACATACATTGCGTTCCATGCATATATTGTCCAATGAATTTCGAAATCAGTTAAGTGAAGCACAGATAGAACATACATTTTAAATTAAACATACAATTTAAAATAAGTACTGGCATTTTTTTCATTGAAATATTGTAATTGCGTATCAAGACATTATTTCTTTCATGTATTTGTTGGGCTTCGTCTAGGTATATACTTTAAAATATGTACATACTTGCATTTTTTAAGTTTAATTTTAAAATCTATGTAATTTATGTAAGTAATATATAAGTAAATAGGTAAAAATGTATAAATAGGTTTACTCTTATAAAAACTATACAATTTTTTGTGGGTAAATTGGTCTTTGTCAAGGAGTTGTGGAAGATATTTAACAATTTGATACTGAACTGAATAAAAATACTATTACGCTAACAAAGTACGCTTTATGAACTATGGCCTAATTTTTCCATCTTCAACAATTCAATATTCAGTAAGTATGTTGTTGTTTTACCACTTATTGAGTATTTATCAAGATTTTTGCAACACACCCTGAGCGAAAGTTATGCAATAAACGGAAAGCCAACTGAACCTCAACTCTGAAAAGACAATTCGAACATATTTTTTTAGAATCAAATGAGATGATTCAAAATACTTTGTGTGAAAGAACATGAATTGTGGCCGAAAAAATGTACGTGTTCGCACATTTAAACAGAGTGTGTGTTATGTCATGAAAATATTCTCATCACATCTTCTCTGGGGTGTTGAACATGGAGGCCCTTAAATCAATTAACATTTGAAAAACTAACGGGAATGTATAAAATTAATCCGCATCGAGTAATGCTTTCCAAGAAATAATTAATTAATCAATTAAGTATAAGCAGTAAGATGACAGCGACTGTGAGTAATGTATGTACATATGTGGACATGTACGTACACTAAACATGAGGTAATCAAAAATTGTGTCCAGTTTCCTACATTGAGTCCGTACGTTATGATAATTATTTAGAACATCGGTAATCGAATTGGGGGATTGTTGAAGTCTAAGTTGAAAGAAATACAGCCATTAATATCATCTCCAAATACAAATCTGTCTTAATAATTAATTTAATTCTTATTTTCTAATACACAACTCCAAATTAATCGCCATCTGGTGTTAAAAGTAGAGATAAGGTGATTTTGGCTATTCTTTTACTCTTTAATCCGTTTCAATTTTATAGAATGTTTTAAGGTGAGAGTTTGGTTTGATTCACTTACAATTATTAATATTTTGAACTATCACATACAAGTCAATAGTATTTAACTTATTATTATTGTTTTTATAAGTAAGTCGTCCATTAACTAATAAAAATACTGCAACAATTTGAAATAATATTGTGTGCAACATTCTCATGCAAGTTTGATTGTTATTCCGAGCTCACTAAATTTAAATCGGAGTCAATTTTCAAATCAATAGTTTTTGAATCTCCAGAAAACCGACTAAAATTTCGCACTTATGGAATTACAGGTTTAATGTTTCAAATGAAATTATTGTAAAATACACACATACATGTGTGTGAATCATTTGGCCGAAATGGAGACAATTTGGTCTTTGAGTTGTGTGTTGACGCTTGGCACACATACACACACACTAATATAAATTGTTCTAAAGTTACAACTAAATTTAGTTTTGAAATTATTAGGATCCTTAATATTACACCAGCACTCATACTATTGTTTGTTTTCTGTTGTTAGAGCGTCGGTGACGTCACCATTGGCGGCGTTTTGAACTTTCCTACGACGTGAATAGTCTATAACGTATTCTATGCACCAGGCAATGCCGCAGAGGAAAATGCATACACTTTGGGCATGAATGCAAATGGGATAGCTTTGAGTAACATCACGGATGAGACCTGCAAGTGTTAAGTAAATGTTAGTACTCGGCTCGATGTTGGCGATCCAATCAAGTTTCTTACCTATCAAAGGACCAAAACATATAACGAACACGGCTTTGCCCACCAAGTGCCAACCGAAGGCTGACGGCAGTTTCTCCAGAGAACAGTACTCAGAAACCGTCAGAGTAAAGTTACTGAGTGCTGAACCCCTAAAGAAGCCACAAATCGACAGCCAAACCATCAGTTGGGTCCAGTCCTTTTGTTCGGCCATAACTGCAAGAAAGCACAATAGGAAAATTTCAATTTATTTTTCAACCAAATTTTAAACTATTGATGTGGGTGGTACTTACTTGACCGCGTTATGGCAACGAATATAATGGACACCAGGAAAACGGTACGTTTTTTAATGTTGGTGCGATCGAAGATGGGCGGCAAAACGATACGGGCAGCAATATCTGTAATGGCGGTTATGGACAGACAAAAGGCCACATCCTTTTTGTCGTAACCCAAATCGGCGAAAAAGAAAGGTGTCACCATTTTGAAATTCATTTCGGCAACATAGAAAATCGATAGACCGAACAGGATGTTGAGGAACATTTTGTCCTTGAGCAAATCTACGTCCATCAGATCGGCGAATCTGACCCAAAATCCAGGCTTTTTCTCTTCTTCAGCAGCACTATCAGCAGCCTTTTCCATTTCCGTGGGTTTCATCTTTATGAAGGAGTCCCGATGACCGCTGGTGATGGTGCCTGTTGCAGTGCTGACCCTCTTCAGTTCGCGGTCATTCTGTTCGAATTCATCATCGCCCACATTCATGTGGACTTGCAAGATAGAACCGGTGAAGTCCATGTAGGATAGGTTTGATGTTACCGACTGTTTGCGATGCCTCAGTTGCATGCTTACGTCGTGATTGGACATGTAGGCACTTTCAGCCGACTGGACGCCGGCCAAAGACATGATTCGTGGGAAGGTAGGTCTTTTCGGTAGACCCATGCGCGAACCATTCATTGTATTCATGGCTATTTCCGAATAGTTTTTACGCATCGAATTCTGTAGTTGGTTATGTTTGTGGAAGAGTAGAGTATTCATTTCGGGCAATGCATCCTCCTCCGTTCCATCCTCATGAATAACTTTGAACTCTGGTATTGGAGCAATGACCATCATTTCCTCGTCCACTTTCTCCTCCTTCATATGCCATTTGGCTGGTTGCAACAGCACTGAACCCACTGTGGCATTTAAAGCAACACCAGCCAAAAGCAGGACAGCCCCTCTAAATCCAAATGCCTCAAGCAGGATACGAACTAATTGAGGCATGATCAGCATACCCATTGCAGTGCCAGCCATGGATAGGCCCACAGCTTGTCCACGTTTATGTTTAAAGTAGTGATTGAGGGCAACAAAGGCAGCTGACGTCGCCAAACCCACACCAATACCATTGAGGACTCCATATGTACTAATGATGTGGGCCATGCTGGATGCAGGGCTGGTACACGCCAAACCCAAGGCACATAAAATTGATCCAGCTATGGCCACCTTCCGGTATGAGAATTCCTTTAGCAAAGGCCCCACAAACAGGCCGGAAAAGTTCATGCACACATCAAGTGTACTGATGATGACAGCAGCTCCAGTGGTGCCCACATCGAGATCGCGCAATAAATCACCAAAGAGTAATCCAAATGACGGTTCTATAGACCGCGTGGCCAACTGCAAAGACAGAAACAAAAGAAGTTTTTTTGTTTAACATATCTAATCGAAACAATTTAATGGGTTTGGGTATTTATTGAGGCTCCCCCCAGTAACTTATTATTTTCAAATCGAATTATATTGCAAGCTTTGCCATAAAATAATCATTTCGAGACCGATACCGTCCGTCCTTATTGCCATTATAAAGTGTTTCGGGGCAAAAAAAAAAAAAAAAAACAGAAAATAAAGATTTTATTGCAACCATCGATAGGATTGCGATCGGATTGAATAACTTTGATTGCTACAGAAAATTTCAAATCAGTAATTGCAATGACGATAGAAAAGAAAAAACTTATCGTGTTATCCAATTTATGGAGCTGTAAGTATCGATATCAATATGTGTATGCTGTGGTATAAATCAAATCGATATTATGGGTCATATTATAAGATATATAACTACACTAGCCTTGTTCCTTTAGGTGCAAGAATAACTTATAGGTATCATCCTTTAAAGCCAAAATTGGACTAATTTAACTAAAGAGGCTACGACGTTAATCAGTTTTTTTCTAATCTTACAATTATATCCCATTTTCAATTAATTAATATTTAAATAAAGATCAATTTCAAATTAACAACTCAAAAGGCCCAATCCATTGTTGAGAATTGAATCAAATATTGTACTTTAGCATAAAACACTTTGTCCAATATTATTAACATAATCTTAATAGGCTTTGATATCAATATGTTTGTTGTCAAATATGTATTCTCAGTTTTTTCAGTTCAATAAACGAATTCAATTATAACAGGTTATGGGCCTTAGTCACGTTTGAAAAAAATATTCGGCAAAACAAAATAGATACATTTTTTAATATTGAAAACTAGTGACGTTTGTGAAAAAAAAATTAAAATGGCTGGTAATAACATAGCTTTTCCGCTAGAAAGATTGCGTGGACGCGAAAACTTTGATGTTTGGAAGAGGCAAGCGCAATCATATCTGGTCATTAAAGGGTGCTGGAAGGCATGTGTTGATAATACCGCTGATGCTGAATTGAATGCGAGAGCTTTAGCCGAGATAACATTGATGATTGAACCAGACAATTACGGCCACATTGCAACTTCAACTACCGCGAAAAATGCCTGGAGTGCATTGATGAATGCGTACGAAGATACGGGCCTTACCAGAAAAGTTGAATTGCTGAAGCAATTTGTGAACATCAAGCTACAGAACTATGGATCCATTCAGGAATACGTCAATGACATCGTTATAGTGGCTATTAAAGTGAAAAATGCTGGCTTAAACATTGACGATGAGTTGACTGCATCTCTAATGTTAGCTGGATTAACGGATGACTTTAAACCGCTTGTGATGGCCGTGGAAAATACCAAGGAGAAATTGACGGTGGATAAGGTGAAGAATGTTCTACTTCAAGATGCGAAATTCGATCGAGCTCCAGAAAAAGAATCGGCGTTACAATCTAAAGGTATCAAGAAAGGTAAGAAGCAAATCAAATGCTACAATTGCAGTGGACTTGGACACATCTCAAGAAATTGTCCCAGCAAATTGAAGCCAAATGACAATGGAGCTACAAGGAAGCATGAAAAGAAGTCGGATGTTTTATTTGCTACAACTACCGATGTGAGCGCGTGTGCAAAAGCTACGGAATCCACTTCAAGTTCAGATTGTTTAAATGCCTGGTACGTTGATAGTGGAGCAAGCAACCACATGACGAATGAGAAGAACCACATGTACAACATCCGTGATGTTTTTAATAAAAAGGTGATTATTGCGAATAAGCATGAACTCGTAGTGGACTCCATTGGATATGTTGATATTGAAGTTGGCTCTGGAAAAAATAAGAGATGTGTTACAATCAAAGACGTGGAGTATGTTCCAGATTTGTGTACCAACTTACTCTCCGTTCGACAAATGGCTAAGAATGGAAAAAGGGTGACTTTTGAAGGTGAAAAATGCCGCATTTCTGATAAAAATGGACGTGTTATAGCAACGGCAACTGCGCAGAATCAATTGTACCGGTTAGAATGCAATTCGAAAGAGGAAAAGGGTAAAGCTTTTACCATGGCCAATGATTTCAATTTGTGGCACCGAAGGATGGGGCATATCTGTAATGCGAAACTGGGTGATGTCAAGAGCGCAAATGTTGGCATAAATTTTGGCAAAGAATGTTCTGAACCATGTGTTGTCTGCGTGAAGGGAAAGCAAACCCGAAAAGTGAGTAGAGAAGTCGGTACTCAAGCCAAAGAGCTATTGGAAATTATTCATTCGGATGTTGTTGGTCCACTAAAAGAAAGTTCGTTCTCGGGAGCTCGTTTTTTGTTGACATTTGTGGATGACTACTCAAGAAAACTGTTTGTCTATCCAATCAAGAAAAAGTCTGAGGTATTTCCGAAATTTTTAGAATTCAAGGCTTTAGTGGAAAACCAGTGTTCTAAAAAAATCAAGATTCTACGATCGGATAATGGGGGTGAGTACACCGGCAAACATTTTTCTGAATTCTTGAAAAAAAGTGGAATAATACATCAAAAAACATGTCCATATACACCCGAGCAAAATGGTGTAGCCGAGCGAATAAATAGGACGATTATAGAAAGGGTAAGATGTATGCTTATCGACAGTGGATTAGATCAACGTTTTTGGGCAGAAGCTGCTTCTACCGCATCGTACTTGATAAATAGAGTGCCATGCCGAGGAAATGAAGGATGTCCCGAAGAACTATGGTCGGGTCGAAAACCAAATTTGAAGCATCTTAGAGTCTTCGGATGTCCAGCTTTGGTCCATGTACCAAAACAACGAAGATCTAAAATTGATCCAAAGTCATTAGAATGTATCATGGTTGGATACAGCACGGAAAGTAAAGCGTATCGATTATTTGATCCAAGTGATCAAAAAATAATTGTTAGCCGTGACGTGGTATTTCTTGAAAATGTTCACTCAAACATTGAAACGCCATCTTCTAATCTGTACAATCCTTTGCTAATTCAATCTCCAGATGAAGAAATGGATAATGTTTTGAACCAAACAGTGAATAATGTATCAACGAATATGGAGTCAACCGAATTGGATGGCAATAATGTAATTCAAAATGAGCCTCGTAGTGATTCTGAAACTGATAGTGAGTTTTTGGATTCAGAATGTTTTGATAACAATGGCTATGTGGACCCAAATGATGAAGAATGGGAACCAAATCAATGTAATTCACGACCAATACCAACGTCTGAAAATATTAGAAGATCAGAAAGGATAGCAAACCGTAATCAACGATCAACGGCATTTTCTGCAATAGAATATGTTTCTTCAGACCCCCAGACTATAAAACAGGCAATGTCGTCTGAAGATTCTGAACATTGGAAAAAAGCCATGCAAGATGAAATGAATTCTTTGAAAGTCAATAATACTTGGACTTTGGTTCAACTTCCTGAAGGACGCAAAGCTCTGAAGTCAAAATGGGTGTTCAAGACCAAGCAAGATTCCAATGGAAACACGTTGCGATGGAAAGCAAGACTAGTCGCAAAGGGATTTACACAGACTGAAGGTATCGATTATATGGAAACATTCTCTCCAGTTGTTCGGTATGAATCAATAAGGTATTTAGCAGCATTGGCAGCAAAATATGACATGAAGATTCATCAGATGGATGCCGTTAGCGCTTATTTAAACGGGATTTTAAAAGAAACCATATATATGGAACAACCCGAAGGTTTCCGTGATGCTTCTAATAAAGTCTGTAAGCTTAACAGATCCATATACGGCTTGAAACAATCTGGGAGAGTATGGAATGAAACCATAAACAAGGAACTTATCGATATGGGTTTTGTACAAGGAGAAGTGGATCAATGCGTATATTCAAAGGTGACAGATGAAAAGAAGATTTATATTGCAATATACGTAGATGATGTAATTATATTCTCCAATGACGAAAACGAAATAAATTCTGTCAAGAATACACTTTCAAGAACATTTAAAATGAAAGACATGGGGGAAGTGTCTAATGTTCTTGGTATGACAATATCCCGAACTGAAGATGGAATCAAAATTGATCAGTCTAAGTACATATCAGATGTATTGACACGTTTCGGAATGAATGACTGTAACCCTTCCTCAACTCCAATGGACTATAATAAGAAGTTATACGAAAGTATGTCCCCTAAAACCGAAGTTGAAAAGGAAAAAATGTCGAAAACACCGTATATGGAAGCTATTGGGTGCTTGTTGTACGCTGCTCAGGTTTCGCGCCCTGATATATACTATGCTGTGAATATCCTGAGCCGATTCGGAATAAATCCTGGTAGAGCGCATTGGGAAGCTGTAAAAAGAATAATGCGTTATCTCAAAGGAACTATAGAACAAGGGCTCATCTATAAGAAAAATTTAGAAGAAGATATTACCGGCTATTGCGATGCAGATTGGGCTGGAAGTTTGGACGACCGCCATTCGACAACTGGTTATGTCTTTATTTTTCAATCAGCAGCAATATCCTGGTCCACAAAAAGACAAAAAACGGTGGCACTATCTTCAACGGAAGCTGAGTTCATGGCAATAACTGCAGCTATACAGGAGTCTGTTTGGTTGAAACGACTAGAAAAAGAACTCAATCCCAACAACAATGTCAACATGGTTTTGTATTGTGATAACAAAGGAGCTATACAAGTGGCTACAAATAACAAGTATTCGTCAAGGACAAAGCATGTGGATATTAAAGCCAAATTTATCAAACAGAAAATTGACAACAATGAAATATCTTTGAAGTATCTTTCAACAAAAGAAATGGTTGCTGACGTTTTTACCAAGGCAGTAACTCCACAGAAGTTGGAATATTTTAAAGGAGTTTTTGGCATTGCTTAGTTTCCAACTTGTATTGTTTTGTAATTATAATGTAAGAAATATTTAATTCAGGTAGAGTGTTGAGAATTGAATCAAATATTGTACTTTAGCATAAAACACTTTGTCCAATATTATTAACATAATCTTAATAGGCTTTGATATCAATATGTTTGTTGTCAAA